TTTTTTTTTTTTTTTTAAATCCAGTCATTTTACTGCTTTGGGTCTCAATATATCATTTTAGGCCATTTCCACCTAGCCCATGATGTACTTTAAATGTTAGATTTAAGTCTTTTTATTTTAGAAAGACTTTATCTTAAATTATATGTTGAGTTACTTGTTYGGTTCCATTGTTGTAATTTTCTGATTCAGGGATTCCAGCTGTGCATATATTGATGTTTCCCCTTYTCCCTCTCCTTCTTCTCTCTTTCACTCTCCTTCCATTTCTCTTTCCTTTTTTTTCCCTCTCTCTTCCTTCACCACCAAATGCTTCACTCACCACCCCATTCTCTGCAGACTGAATCCCACCTGCCATTGTACTTACTAGCAAATCAGGAAGATAAACACTCTATAAGATACCAGTTGTGTCCTAATTGCTAAATACAATAAACATTTTTCAGATCTTATTCATTCTCAGTGCTGTTTTAAACAGTGGTGACCAGTCACCTTTTCTTCTTTCTATTTATTTTATTACCTTAAGTTCTTGGTATCCTGTAGGTGGCCTGCTGTGTGCTCTTCTCATTTTCCTCTGTGGCTATTCCTGAGTAGGATTTTATTTCCATCTTCTGACCATCTTATAAATATTGGTCTTTCTCAGGAGTAAGTCCATTRTTGACTGCTTTTTGTCTTTCTCTGTTGTCCCTGAACAGTTTTGCTTATTACCTTGTTTTCTTTGATTACCTAGAAATCTGTAATTCTAATCCAGATATTTCAGGTTACTGTAGGAAGAGCACTCCTAATCCAAAAATCCCAAATCTGAAATGATCCAAATCCAAAAAGTTTTGAGTGCTGACATAATACAACAAGTAAATTCCACACCTGACCTCATATGATGTGTTGTAGTCAAAATGTAGGTACACTAAAAATATTGTATAAAATACCTTCAGACTATCTGTATAAGGTATATTGAAGCATAAATGAATTTTGGGTTTAGACCTTGGTCACATCCCTAAGATATCTCATTATATATGTGCAGCTATTTCAGAATTTTAAAAAAAATCTGAAATTCAAAATGCTTGTGGTTCTAAACATTTCAGCTAAGGGACACTCAACATGTGTATCCAGTTGTTATTCAGTATCCAGGTAAAGATGTTTCTCAAATCTACTATGGCCCAAATTGCACTTGGCTTATTTCTTCTAATACCTTCTCCCTTATTTCTTTTCTCATCTTTATCCATCCATCACTCAATCTTGAAACCTAGGAGTTATAGACTCCTCCTGATGTCTTCCATCCCACAATCAATCTGTCAACAACGGTTTTACTTATAAATATTTCTTACTTCTGTCCACTGTTCTTTATGCCTGCTGTCACTACCCACTGTTTTAGTCCCCCGTTTGTTTCTTTACCTGCTGTAATAGGCTTCTATCTTCAGTCTTGGTTTTTTCAGATCCTCCCACCATAYAGTCACCACAGTGAGCTGTCTAAATGTGTGAATATGATGGTTTCACTCTCCATTAAACCCTGTAGGCTGCTTATAGGCCTTAGTACTAGGCCAGGTACTTTTTTTCCCCTATTTTATGGCTTTAATAATTCTAAATATACTTTTAAATATAGTTTCTACCTGGTAATTATATTATTTGAAGTTTTGGAGATCTGTTTATAGTTTCTGCTGACATAATGACATGGCATTATTTCATGAGGTGCTTTCAAATTTTTAATTTTGAGTGCGTCTTCATTTGTGCCTTATCAGTTAAATTTTTTTTTTTTTATTTTTTGCCTTTGGGACTGTCTCTGGAGAATTTTAAAATATGCTTCTTTCAAGTGCCCATAAGAATATCCTTGGTCAGGATCATTTTTTATGTTAATTTCTTGGCTTGATTGTTACATACTAAGGAAAAATAGTGTAAGTTCAAATCCCAAATCTATCTGAGGGCAGGATTTTGATTACAGATCTTGGAGAATACAGATTAACCCCCACGGAGTCCAGCTGAGACAAACTTCCTTGTCATCTTCCTATGTTAGTAGGTGGATTTTCCCCCCTCTTATGATTTCCTTTTCTACGAATGCAACTTTTTAAAAGATTCTGGTTTTAGGCAGGTCCCCTGCTTTAATTCTCTATTTTGCAGGATCTAAGGCCTCAGCTTCTTTCTGGTATTCAAACTCAAGCTCTTCTGTGACCAATAGGCCTATAGGTTCGCCTCAGTGATTGCTTGAGGCTTATTGCTTTGGTTTTTCAGTCCCTTTTCCACTTTTTTGACCCTGACTATTGTCTTTATTTTCTTGGGGACTCAGCTGTGTATTTTAAAGGATATTAGATTTTCCCCAACATTCTTGGGGAGTCCTTACCCCTCCCCATAATCTAGCCTACTATATTCTCATTCAGTGTTCAGATTTGATGTAATTCTAACCCTTTTCAGATCTRTGATTTTGGCTCCTGTTTTTGAAAAATCTGAATAAGATTATAAACCTGTAATATGCAGTCAGGAGGAATGTTGATGACAAGGAGGCAGGATGGGTTAGGGAAAGCCCCTAGAATCCTTCCAGGATTGCAGGTCCTTATTCAGATTTCTCTCTTTCAAATAAGAGGGGTTCCTTAGTTTTGACCATTTTCTCCAACAAGTATAAGCATATGATACTCTTTTTTTCACGAATTGCCTTTTCCATCTGATGGCATTGTTTTTCTGCCTAGAACCTAGGTTTTCTAGGATATTTAAAAGGAAAGCAGTTCTTTGTAGCCATTAGCAAATGTAGGAATAYTGTTGAAATCTGATGCTTGGTTACTTGACAGTTTCCAGTCATAATAAACTACTATTTCTCCCTCAAACTGTTACTTTTGAAAAAGGCCAAAATTAYGGGTTGCCATTTACTTGGTATGAGTCCATACATGATGATTTAAAGTAATCAAGATGTTATGAAACTGAGAAGTTAAATCAACCTTAAAATAGCTGGTTTGGAGATTGCAACAAAATATGGGCAACCTTAATCACCTGAGCCACCAACTGGACCAACAATTGGATGTATTTTCTTCTGTTTTTTTTTTTTTTCTTGGCAAATTTTCTTTACAAAGTTATGAGATAAACACATATTTTAACTAGTGTCTGTTTTGATGTTAATATTTTAACTTTATATAAACATATAATATAATAAATTGCAAATTTTACTTATTATCCCATGTTGTATATGAAATTTAAATCACTTTCTTTTCTCTTTCCCTGTAGTCCCCCTCTTTTCCTTTTGCTCCTTCTGTTATAGATTTGCAATAAACACCATAGTGCATAATTTTTTTCCTTAAATGTGTTTAGAATAATTTTTTAGAAATAGAATTACTGGGTCAAAGTGTTTCCATATTTTTAAGACTTTTGACACATAGTGTCAAATTGCTTACAAAAGCTTGGCCCAGAGTTATCCTAATAATCCAACAGCATCTTAAGCAGACCTCTTATTTTACTAATGGGCTGTGCACAGGGGCATGGGGCTGATCTTCTTTATGGTTCCTCTACAGGATATGGTACCTGTCATAGTTGATTACTGCCTTCTGCTGCAGCGAAAGTAAGTATGCACTGGCTGTCACATTCAATTATTTTGAACCCAGGTAGCATGGTGTTTATGTATAATTCACTGATGTGACTTCTATAAATTTGACTAGATGGGGTTTTTAAAATGAATTTACAGAAATTTGATTTTTTTAACAGTTTTCCATTCATCTAATGAAATTAACTTTGCCAAAACAAATTCTTATGGGTGTACCATCTCTGAATTTGTGTATCATGATAATGGAGGCAAAGAATGTAACCAACAAAAAAAGAAATACTACATAGGGATCTTAAAAGTAAAAAGTATATTATTCATGTACAGTGTATACACTCTTTTTTTTGTGTTAATTCATACACTTTTTTTTTTTCTTTGTGGTGCTGGGGATTGAATCCAGGGTCTTATGCATTCAAGGCAAGCACTCTACCAATTGAGCTATATCCCTAGCCCTATACATACACTCTTTGTGAACCATCATTAAAATACAGATTTCATAGCACTAAAAATAAATAAATAAATAAATAGCCAGATTCATTTTGCAGTGTTTTTTTTTTTTTTTTTTAAAACAAACTGGGGACTGAACCCAGGAATAACTACCACCAAGCTACATCTGCAGTTCTTTTTAGTTTTATTTTGAGACAGGGGTCTTTCTAAGTTGCCCAGGCTGACCTTGAACTTGTGATCCTCCTGCCTTATCCCCTAAGTAACCAAGATTATAGGCATGTGTAACTACACACACACGCCTGCAGTGTTGGTTTTTTTAGGTTCTTTTTGTTTAAAATAAACAAGTGTAAATAAACTCTTGATTAGGCTTTGTTGGTTTAAATAGTAACTATTAAATTAATCCACATATGCAATTCAGTTTTTCACACTCATAATAGTAGTCTAATGTTGTTTTAAGTCCTTGACATTTATTTATCTAATTTTTGTAGCAACTTATTTAATTTTTATAACAATGAAGTAGGCATTATTAATCCTCATTTTGTAGAAATGTTTCCAGAAGTGCCAAACAAAGGTAGGATACAAACCCAGAAGCTCCTATATTCTTGGTCTCARCCACTAGTTTGTACCACCTTCTAATAGAGAACAAATGCAGTAATCTAATACAGATACTTCTAAAATCCTGTATGATATTGACTTGACTCATGAATTTATATGTATTCTAGTAGCCTGATTCCTAAATTGTTGAAARTATAAATGAAATTTATCAAGAGGGCAATTATTTGATATGTCAGGCYTTTGTTAAGTCATGGATAGCTATAACTTTGTTTACTTGGGGTTCAGATTCTAATATTTTAGCTATAGTGTTAATGTAATTAGCAAAATGTGTATTTGATAGGAATGTCATTGAGAACATTTATTATATGTTGTCTCCCTTAGAAGAGTATGAGGGAAAAGTTTCTTTCAGGTATTAGGSATTGAAATACTCTGCTAGCTTACTTTTAGCTGATAGACAGTAAATCAGATAGCTAATCATTGCTTCTTAGAAGACAAAGCACCGTTGTACATTAACTCYACTCTGTCTTTTCTTAACCTAGTGTTTCCATGCACTGTCTTGTTATTTATCTTGTATTTTTTAGAATAGCCTTAAAAGTTTGTGGGTCAGTTTACATATTTTATTTCATTCAATCCTTATAATTAAGAAAGATAATGTTATCCTCCTTTTCAGATGAATAAATGGAGGTAAGGAGGTGTTCTTAATACTAATGAGTACTGCAATCAACTCAGATCTTCAAATTGAGATAATTGTAAATGTGATGAAATGAAATCCCTCAAAGACTAAATTCTGTTTAGAGTAAGAAGGCATATCTTACCCTAAACATGGAATATTTTCACCTAGAGTGGAATTTGGCACAAAGTAGCTATTTAGTTGGCCTGATGGCTGAATTAACAAGAGAATTATGGTTTGCAGGGTCACTTGTGATCATTATCTTGGAGTACTTGAATACTCTCATAGTGACATAAACTCAAAATGGCCCTAACAGTTGTAAAACAAAGGATAATATAAGGAAAAATAAAAGCAGATGTTCTAGAGATAAGCATTGCTTTTATATGTGATTTGAAAATATTCTCCAGCTTTATTTAACCTATTGACTGACTGGGAGTACAGTAATTTTTGCACTAAATCACAGTATATAACAAAAGATAAAATCTTGTCTGAATTTTCACCAGATTAGAATCTGTTATCTTATTATCAACTTTTTTCTTTCCTGTAACTTTCCTGTACTCCTTAGCATGTTTTTGTCTGGGCTATACTAAAAGCAAATTTAGTATTTGTTTTTTGAGATCTTGGCAGGGAGGGACCAGTAGTCAGAGTATATTCCTGACCTCCTTTAGGGAGGTGATGTCAGGAATCCTTTGTCAGCTGTTCCTAGACCTTTTTATAGTTCTTCCCTTCCTTTCTCTTCATGCATTCTTTGATCAAGGGCATGCACTTTCCCCCAAACCATGGTTCAAATAGTATGGCTTTCTTCTCTCAATTCTCTTACCAGAGGCTGAAGATTAGATTGTACTAGATCTGACTTTCTTCTTAGAAAAGTTCCAGCATATGTGTTCTTTGTCTTTCTTTCATTCCTGGTTTCTTTTCCTACTTCTGTTTTTTAGGTTCTAGTAAAGTCAGAAGGGATAGGGCAGCATTGCCATCAATATCAGAAAGTTGGTGCTTTTAAACTAAGCAGTGGGTTAGAYGTTCCTTCTTTTGTTGTAGATTCATTTTCTTGCTCTTGTTTTCTTTTCACCTTACTGCTTTTTTAAAAAAATCTGAATGTTAAGATACTATATATGGGCATGAGCTTAGGAGAAAGAATGGAATAACTAGATTTTTTGTATCCAGGCTGTCTTTTAGTTCCTTTCCCTTTCAAACATGCAATAATTAATAGCTTTATTAGATGTTAAAATCTTATGTTAATTAAATAGTTCAGTRTAATAACTCTTTTTTTAATATTTTTATTCTTGTTTTTGATCTTTTAAATTTACAATTTGAAACAGTCCTTAAAAATTCATGAATTTGTACTGAGTGCGGTAGCACACCCCTGTAATCCCAGTGGCTTGGGAGGCTGAGGCAGGAGGATAGCAAGTTCAAAGCTAGCCTCAGTAACTTAGTGAGGTGCTAAGCAACTCAGTGAGACCCTATCTCAAAATAAAATACAAAATAGGACTGGGGATGTGGCTCAGTGGTCAATGGCTCAGTGGTCAATCCCCAGTACTCCCCTCCAAAAAAATTCATGAGGGCTGGGGATGTGGCTCAAGTGGTAGTGCGCTCCCCTGGCATGCGTGCAGCCCCGGTTGGATCCTCAGCACCACATACAAAGATGTTGTGTCCGCCGAAAACTAAAAATAAATGTTATCGCTGTTGACCGGTGACGAGTTCTTGCTTCCCCGATGTTGAAGAATAACACCAAAGAAGCACGCTGAGGCAAGGTCAGAGTAGAAATTAGAAATTTATTAAAGGACAGAAGAAAAGACTTCTCCCGGGGGCTGGGGATGTGGCTCAAGCGGTAGAGTGCTCGCCTGGCATGCGTGCGGCCCGGGTTCGATCCTCAGCACCACATACAAAGATGTTGTGTCTGCCAATAACT